GTGCCTCGAGTTTGGAGCAAATGAAAGAAACAAAACAAATAATACACCGACCAATCAGTGAGCAGGGGAGGCGGGTGCTGTTGGTAGGTGTCGGTGACGTCAAGAGTTTGCAACCGAATTTGCTGGTTTTAATTTGTCAATGGCGGAGAATGCGATAGTAAAGCAATCCGTTCTGATTTTGGTCCAAAATCAGAAATTGAAGCTAAAAGGAATGTTTACCAAGTGTCATTGCTGGCAAAGATGTTGTGTTAGTGGCAAAGGAGATGGCTAAAGCTAGGCTAAATGCTAAATATGCTAAATACTAGCGACTCTAGCGACTAAACAGGAATGGAGCTCGGGGACATGTGAAAGGCTGCAGCTGGAGGTTAGCGTCAAGAATGTGAGAAATCCTGCAGTGGAAGTGAAAAAAAACCTTTGTGTTGATTGAGATTTCTGCAGCTTTTGTGGAAACGTGCCTCGAGTTTGGAGCAAATGAAAGAAACAAAACAAATAATACATGTTTCAATAATTACTATTTTACTAAAAGGCTAGAGCTGAAATGACTGGAACTCTTGATGGATCCTGTTCAAATCAGAAGAATTCTGAAAAAATCACCGAAAAAGAGTTTTTCACATATTGTTTAAGAGTTAAGTAATGTGTATGTGTTTTTATTTTTGTATCTTTAACAAGCGTTCAAACTGGTACATATATAACTTGAAATGCAGCTATTGTCTCTAGCACTTCTGGGAGACCACCAAACTCAGCTCAGAACTAGTCCAGAACCAGTCAAGATCCAGCTCAGGACCATCCATAACCACCTCAGAACCAGCCCAGAACCAGTCCAGAACCAGCCCAGAACCAGTCTGAGACAAGTCCATTACCACCTCAGAACCAGTCCAAAACCAGTCCAGAACCAGCCCAGAACCAGTCCGAGACAAGTCCATAACCCCCTCTGAACCAGTCCAGAACCAGCACAGAACCAGTCCGGGACCAGCTCAGAACCAGCACCTTGAGAAAAGTTTGCCTAACAGAGACCAAAAATGGCTATATTGATTTTTTTTCTCTGGGAGTTAAAGCTCAGAACCACTAACATTTCAAAAATAAAAGACGTTATTTGTCCTCAAAGTTATGAAGACAAAAAATGCACATCCGCTGAGTCGCTTCCAAAACAGAACGCCGCCTGCTCTGGGAGTTCACAGTCATGTGTTCAACAGACATTTGTCCTTTTCATTTGAAATAAGCAGCAGGTGAATACCCAGAGTTTTTCTTCATATTCCGATGCCAGCTGTGAGATGAAATGTGGCCAAGTAATTATCTTTCTCCAGCACCACTTGTGTTATATTGGCCAGGTTTGAAATGGAACACTTCTGTAAGATTATAGTGTGCTAATACCTTATTCAATAAGTGTTCGCTCTCCAACAATGACTTTCTCTCTGAGTGTGGCCAACAAAAGACCAAGAAATGTGTCAAATAGACACATTATCTTTGTCCTTTGCAAATGGCAGTAGCTAGTTGTCTTGTGCTTGTATAAGGTTTAAATCACAGACCTTTATAATATTCGGAGTGGACTTAGCGAGTGTGTGACGTCACTCGTAATGTGGTTTGAACATAAGCTAGCTGGAGGCCATTTCCTTATATGGGCGCATTTGCTTCTGTGGCGTTAGCTTTAGCCTTAACAGGGAGAGACGTGTTTTCAAGATATTTGGTAATCGGCGCCACGGTGGCTTTTCAGCAAGAAGGGCTTGGGTTCGAATCCCAGTCGGAACCGAGTCTTTCTGAGTGGAGTTTGAATGTTCTTCCTGTGTCTGCGTAGGTTTCCTCCAGTTGCTCTGGTGTCCCCTACCACTAAAAACATGCACAATAGATAAAATCCACCAGCTCTGATAGTCCTGACCAAGCCGAGCATCAGTATCTGGAGATGGGTTCCCGGGAATCAAGATGGGTCAAATGCAGAGGACAAAGTTCCCTACCATTAATGTATATAACTTACTTTGTTCTCCCACTGATTTTATTTTATTTTATTTTTGTTATTGTTCCTTGCCGATGCAGGACGGTCTAAGGACAGTGATGATCTGGGATATTTACTAACATTTATAGACAGTGATCACCCGACTGACTATATGGACCAATGGCTCCTATGTGCTTGTTATCATTGCATTTCTTGTGTTTTATTACCTCTCCTGTTTTGGTCACTTTTGACAATTTTGACAAGTCCATCCCGACAACTGCTATTGTGATTTAGGACTATACACAAATACATTTAGTTTAATTGAATTAAATGGTTCCTATCTGGATTGACAAACACATACTCTAAGATTCTGCTTAACTTTTATGGCTGCACCATTGAGAGTTTACTTGTTGGTTCTGTGTCTGTGTGGTTTGGAAACATCACAGATAAAGAAAAGAGAGCTTTAAACAAGGTGCTCCGCTCTGCAAAGAGGACCGTGGGCTGTGAGCTTCCTGTTCTGGAGGTTCTTTATAAATCCAGACTTTTAAACAGAGCTCTTAAAATCATCAATGACTCTTCTGGCCACCCTGGAAAAGCCATGTTCCAGCTTCTTCCCTCTGGCAGAAGATATCGCTCTCTGAGATGCAGGACATCTCGTTACGCTAACAGTTTTTATCCACAAGCTGTTATCAGTGTGAACAGAGCACTTTAATGATTTGCACTTGTTTTGAAACTGTTTTAGTCGATCGATTTCACAGTGACATTTGTTTACTGTTTTATATGTTTTATTTCTGTCTTTTAATGTTGTTTTATGTCTGTATTTGTCTGTGCACACTGGTGACTTTTTGCAAATGTATTCCAATGTGGTTTTTTTACTGCAAATGGCAAATAAAATGAATCTGAATCTGACATACGGTAAGCTAAGATGACACAGACTTTATTAATCTCACACAGGAGAAATGTACATGACACATTTGGCGTGGATAGAGTCAGGTTAAAAATATAGTCTGTGTAGCATATAATTGTGTACAATAGCAGTGCTGTTTTTCTTCAGTCCTGGTGCATTATCAAAGGTGATTATTTTTTTTTTGCTCAGAATGGTGAGCGTTACAGAAACGGTTACTGAGCTTGAGGAGTTTACTCAGCAATTTAAGTCAATAGGAAACAGAGCGGGTCAGAGCAAAACTTCGTCCATTAGCACTTCCCAACTGAGTTCATTAAGCCTGGGCGGTCAGCATTGTCCAACTATACACAGTCTATGCTTTCGAATTCAACTCCTGGTCAGGGAAAATAATACATGTGTTGCAGGATGTCACCGTGTGGGCTGCAAATGTTACAAGGGCAAAGCTGACAATCGCGGCTGTTGTTCGCACTGCACTTATAAAAGCAAAGATCTCACTGAACAACGCCATCGGCCCCTCACCACGCAACAACTCGCCCACTCCGGTCCTTAGCCCTGACGACCCTCAGAAGATATTTGGATGTACTTCACACTCGATTAGACGCGAAAACAAGAGAGCAGTCAACCTGTCATACCTGTTATACCCACCCAGACAGTTCGCTAAGATTTGTGTGCGAGGGCGAAAGAGAAAATTGGACCCAGACATGGCAGATCCGGCATGTTTATGTGTTTGGTTTGGTTTGCATGATGGCAAAAAGACTTACAATCATTTACAAACTCGTCAGGGGAAGTAGTAGTCTTTAGTAGTAGTCTTTATTTATATACCGCCTTTTCACTGCAGATCTGAGTCTCAAAGCGGTTTACAATTGTTAATTTTTGGACATTTGTCTCTCACTCCACACAGAGATGGGAGCGGGGTCGCCAGTACAGGAGGCACATGCCAGAACTATTGGACATATTTTTAGTGGTAGGGGAAACCAGAGTACCCGGAGGAAACCTACGCAGACACAGGGAGAACATGCAAACTCCACTCAGAAAGGCCCTGGTCCGACCGGGATTCGAACCCAGGACCTTCTTGCTGAGAGGCGAGAATGCTATCCACTCAGCCACCGTGCCGCCCAAGTATTATTTGATATATATTTGGCTTTGTGCAGACAAAAAGTGTATGATGAGGATGTTTGAAGATAGAGAGACAGACATGTAATAAACGGAAATATTTCACTCACAAAACACCGGAATGAAATTGAAATGTTTGAGGAGAATTGTTGTTAAGATTATATGAAAGATTAATATTTGTCCCTCGGTGGGGAAATTTCAGTGTTGCATCACCGGTTACAGAACAGTAGGAATTAGGAGCACACAGCACATTATAAGTGAGCAATAACTCTATACTAAAATAAAATCTAGCTTTAGCATAATTAATAAAGAAACCAGTATGGCATTGCTACATTTTTCGTAATTAATAAGCAAGTGTAACATATCTAGCTTTAGCATATTAAAGAAGCTAGTCTAAAATGTCTAGCTTTAGCGTAAAAAAAAGACAAGTTTAAAATGTCTAGCTTCAGCATAATAAAGAAGCTAGTCTAAAATCTCTAGTTTTAGCATATTAAAGAAGCAAGTGTATAATCTCTGGCGTTAGCATAATAAAGAAGCTAGTATAAAATCCCCAGCTTTAGCGTAAAAAAAGACAAGTTTAAAATGTCTAGCTTCAGCATAATAAAGAAGCAAGTATATAATCGCTAGCTTTAACATAATAAAAAATAAAGTATAAAATCTCTAGCGTTAGCATAATAAAGAAGCTAGTATAAAATCTCTAACTTTAGCATAATAAAGAAGCTAGTATAAAATCTCTAACTTTAGCATAATAAAGAAGCTAGTATAAAATCTCTAACTTTAGCATAATAAAGAAGCTAGTATAAAATCTCTAACTTTAGCATAATAAAGAAGCTAGTATAAAATCTCTAGCGTTAGCATAATAAAGAAGCTAGTATAAAGTCTCTAGCTTTAGCATGATAAAGATTGAAGCAAGAATTATGTATACAATTTCTAACTTCGGCATAACAAAAAGAAAAAAACGAAACTTTCCAAAATCATCAATTGATAAGCAAAAATGTAATTAGTTTTACTTTCACAGTCTGAGGATCCATCTGACCTTTCACTTTCCTCCTATAGAGAAATTCCTGCGTCACCAGCTGCACAGCTACGGTCAGCAGCTCCACATCACCTTCACGTCCGAGACCACCGAGCTCCTGCCACAGCACGTCTCCCTGATCCTCCAAGGCTCCGGACTCACCCTCAGCGCTGACCTCACGCCTCAGCCAGGGGCCCGCTCCCTGCCCGGCCCCGCACCACACACCTCCTTCACAGTCAGGTGAATATCGCGGCCGTCCAAGTCTGTGCACGTCTCACTTGGAAATAAATGTGACCCGTGAAGATGCTGCTGTTTATTCAATTCAATTCCATTTATTTTGTATATAGTAAGTAAGTAATGTTTATTTATATAGCGCCTTTCAAAGACCAGAGCCACAAAGCAATTCGAGCCATTTCTTGCAGGAGGGTTGAAGGCAGAGGTGATGATCCAGGACATTTAACATTTATGGACATTAATCATCCCGCCCCTTATGCACCAATGGCTCATTCAGTATGTGCTTGATAATAGTGCATTTCCTGTGTTTGATTCTGTTCTGTGTTGGTCAAACATCTTTTAAAGTCCTCCGAGATAACAGCTGTAGGGCTATACAAAAACAAATTGAATTGAAATGAATGAGTTTATAGCTTTAAAGTACTTTGAGATACACTGCATGGCTCACCTTTAAGTTGCCTTCTCCTGTTGATGCGGATGACTGATACTGCAGTATATTGTGGAGCACTCCAGGTAGAAACAGCCTAACAGAGGAATACACACAGAATAATTTGCTCCCACAGAATCATTTAATCATTGAAAATATTTGTGAAAGCATCTCTGAAAACAGCTTTATCATTGTTTGTATTATTTAATTATGTTAGAACCATGACTAATCCAAATGTTTAGCTCCAATCCAACTTTGCACAGAGGCTGTCATAGTTTGCTGAATGGTGCTATATTTATTAAATTAAAGTTATTATTAATTAAAGTAGCAATATGTAAGATTTTCATGTCAAATGATGACATGACACAATCATCTGTCAAAAGGCATTGATAAAACATGCTCTTTATCAAATACTTCTTAAACTGATAAAAGATGTTCAGCCGAATCGAAAATTAGTTTTACAGCCGCTAAATCTTGTTATTGTTTTAATTTCGATGTTCTGCCCTCCACCATTTCACCAATCAGTTAGTCCGTGATCCGGGTTTCCAGAACTCAACGTGTCAAGCTAATCTCACTGGTAAAGTAACATGTGGCCTCAGAACTAAAAATGTCTCGTTATGATTCTGAAATCATTAACAACAAAACAAAGAATAAAACCAGGATTTTGATCTTTGTGAAATAGAAGAAGGTCCTTTATTCGTCCCACAATGGGGAAATTTCAGTTTGATGCATTCACATACACATATACATATAAGTAAGTAAGTAATGTTTATTTATATACCGCCTTTCACAGACCAGAGTCACAAAGCGGTTTACAATTGTTATTTTTGGGCACTTGTCCTCTCACTCCACACAGAGAGATGGAGTTAGAGGACATCAAGTCAAGCAGCGAACATCACTTCCACGCTCCTTAAAGTGGGGTTAAGTGTCTTGCCCAAGGACACAACGACAGCAGACATCAGTGGGAGTGGAGAAGGTCTTGAGGTGGGCTCAAACCCACGACCTTCGGGCTCAAAGGCCAATGCAAGGCCAATGCTCTACCAACTGAGCCACTGTCGCCCCCAGGTGTTGGTTATAGATTTGCTGTTGACAAAACTCTTGTCTATTCGGATATTTATAATATGGTCCCTGCTGGATTTATCTGCATATCTGGCAACCCGAGTCAGGGAGAGTTTCAGAGGTTGCAGTACCACTTTTGGCCAGATTTTTTACATACTGCTGCTTTAAGACATTCACATTCCGAGGCCGTGCACTTGTTTACACTTGCATCTTAATTGACAGTTACCCCCATACGTGCTACTCTCGTGTAAACGGAGCGAGCGGCAATCACGCTCTGGATATTGTGATAAAATTGTAATCAGAATCCAGCTGTGGAGTCGTTCCTGTCACGCAGAGCCGACGCTGTTTACAGAGATGGCGAACTGCTGCTTTTGTTTTGCTCTTGTCTCCTGTTTGATTATATAAAATGCAAGTTTGTTTGTGTTTGAGACAGACAGACGTGTGTGTGTCGAGCTACACTCGACACACACACACACACACACACGCACACACACACACACACACACACACACTTTTTCTACCCCTTGTTACATCAGTCGTTGTCTGTCATTTTGGCTGCGACGAAGACATTTGAAAGTGGGTTGCTAAGTGAACAACATCAAATATTTTGGATTTTGCTTTCTGGCAGATGTCCATCGACTCAGACGGGCGTGGGGAATATCGCACTGGCACTTGGCCTGTCCTCTTTTCTCCTCTTTTTCTTTTTGTTCATGTAAATCTGCTTCTGTTTGAGACACTGGGTGAAGTGAGTTGTTAAGAAGTTAGCGACACTAGCTCCTTATAAATGAATGACGTTTCGTGGAACCAGCTTATATACGACCAAAGTCCTGTTTTGTTTCTTGAATGCTAAAATACCCTAATATAAATGATATCTATTTTATGTATTGATTTATTTGATAGAGAAAAGAAGCCCATAAATGCATATATTGGAATGGCATCTGCAGGGCAAAGTTTGTAATACGGTGGTTTTTCAATAACGCCCTCTTTTAATAAACTCTGCAGGTAGTCTATATTTGTAGTAGCCGAACTTTATAACAATAATAATAACTCTCACAGGAGTCAAGAATAAAGTTTAGAGAGTACATTTATTAGCAAGACTGTCTGATTTTGTCTGACTCGACTGTTATAAGCTCTTGGACAATTTTCATATATGGACTTCTAACCGGACACCCTCTCCAGGTGGGTGGAGAGGTCCTTTCAGAGTTCAAGTGTCTCAGGGTCTTGTTCACGAGTGAGGGAAGGATGGAGCGTGAGATTGACAGGCGGATAGGTGCAGCAACATCAAACACGATTCAAACTTTTCTCAACATTTTCTTTTTCTTAAACCCGCTCGTAGGGTCCCTCTTCAATTGTTGGTATGTGTTTGTGTCCATAAGTAAATGGTTAACTTTGGTCTCATAGTCCGAGGTGTTGAGGATCACTGTGCATCTGCCTTTGTCAGCTGGTAAAACTGTTATACCCTCATCCTTTTGTAATGCCAATAATGCTTTTGCTCTCCTGCTGAGACATTGGATTGTCACTTGGCACTTCTGAGTGTTGTTGAGATTCTCAGAGTGCCCCCGCCTCACTCTGTTAGTTTGTTGTTTCTAAAGGCTGCTTCTGCTGCTGTGATGTGTTCAATTGTAGGAATATCTTTTGGGGGGTTACCGCATAATTTAAGCCTTTGGTAAGAACATCTTTTTCCATCCATCCATTCCATTTTCTTCCGCTTTATCCATTGCCGGGTCGCGGGGGCAGCAGTCTAAGCAGAGACGCCCAGACTTCCCTATCCACACACACCTCCTCCAGCTCGTCCGGGGGGACTTTTTTTCCGCTTATGATAAATGCCGATTAGATATATTTTGTACCCACGTCTCATTGTTCAACCCTTGTGCAATCTCACTTTTAGAATGTTGAAACAGTTTTCGGTTTAGGAGCTTCGGAAATTTGCCCATCTGCGGCTAAGCTTTCATACCCTTGAAAAAGTTTGTTGGATGAAGAACGAAACGTCGGGAAAACCTGCAATGTCCCCCTTCTTTTTATGTATTAGTTTGTTAATGTTCCCCTCCAGTTTATTTGTTCTTGTCTTGAGCTTGAACAGACCGGCGAGTACGTGCTGTGTGTGTGACGTAAACAATCTCAGACGTCCCAAGATGTCTGCCCTTTCAAATCAATGCAGGCTGCTCATTGGTGCATGTTCTCTCCATGGGCGTCCCAAACATTAGTTGATGTACATGGGACACCTCTGGTCCTCCTGGTCTCATGCAGTAGAAGCACCGTCTGTGAGAGCTTCTGCAAAATGCTGGACTACATACAGAATGAGATGGAAATGTCAGAATAATGATATATTCACAGTAAAAAGTAAGCGCCGCGAAAAATGCATGGACTATTCTTGGACTATTGGACTATTCTTTAGATTGGCTTTTTCAGACAAGAAGTGAAAAAGAGAAGGGCACATTCATTCAGCCAATCAGCTCTCAGTATGTAAAAGATAGAATGTTTTCTAGATGAATACAGCATGTTGTATCCTGATGTTATTTTGACGAGACATTTGGGTGGACAGACAAATGTATTTATGAAACTAACAAAAAAATAATCAGGTACACCAGCTTTAATGTATCTGTCCATAGCAGCTGCCATCATTAACCTGAGCGGAGCCAGTTCACGGAACAAAAGTTACACACAGTTACATACAATTACAGATTATAAAAACAGTGTCGCACAATTTCATAAAATACACAGATTACAAAAAGTTCTATATACAACTGAAGTATTGTACATGCATACAGACTTCTCTGACAATCGAAGTCTGTGTCCCATGTTTTCAGGAAGACTGTTCCAAATTTTAGCTGCATAAATCTGAGATGCTGCCTCACAATGTGATGTGTTTAATTTGCAAATATACACATAATGCCTCAACCCGCATTGGATTTTGAGCTTTGGTGGTTTTTCTCTGGCCTTAAATGAAAATTATACTTGTGTCCATCTGACTCACTCCGCTCTTAAATATAACATTTATCTCTAAGACCTTTCTTCCTCCCTGGCCAGCCGGAATGGACCCTGGTCTCTCTCAGCTGGAATCGGTAAATTATAACCTCTCTTTCAACTAATACCAGGCGTGGAGATGTTGAAACACTTTGTTCTTCAACTGACCCCCACATGTTTTTTTTTTTCTTTTTCTGTCACCCTCTCCTTCATGTCAAAGTGGTCAATCCAGAGAGCGAACGGGGCCCTTAGGAAGTGAGCTTGCTGTGAGCCTATAGGACTCACTGTGCTGTCATCGATAACTTTGTCTCATTAGGCTGGTCAGATCCTGGCTCCACTTCACACACTGGAAATAGAAATGTACCGTCTGTTTGTGGCTTAAGATTTCTCCTCTTGGCCTGAGTTTTTATCCTCTCTCACTCCACCCGGTAGTTCCTTTTGAAAAATGTTACAAGTTCTCTATCCTCAATAAATCAGTCAAATTGGGCAAAATGTGTCTTAGTCTGAGTGCATTCTGACTGCCTTATAAATTGCTAATGGGACAAGAAAAAATATCTTG